ATTAAAATTGACTCGCTGTGCAAGTTTATTGTCATGATTTTGACCAGAACGGGCCTTCATAGACAACACACAAGTTTTAATATTAATTTTTCATTTTTCAAAAAGTAATGGATTGAAAAATTTCTTGAATTACATATTTATTATTACATGTACTTCATTCAACACTCTTGATCAGTGATCAGTGGTAATTAATTGATGGTCAGCACACCATTAATGGCTCAGTCAATTCCAAGTGTGTGTACCTTCCCAGGCATTTGTCATCTTGTTGCTCTCGGTGGTGGGAATTTGTGAGAAAACCTCTGCCCGGCAGTGAGACATTTGTCAAATTCTTCTAGAAGCGGTTAACGTTGTTCCCTTTTTAATATTTTACTTAAAAATATGCCTTTTTTGGATAGCTTTGGATAATTCTATAAAGAATTTTTTAATACTGTCTTATAAACGGTTTAAAAGGATATGTGTAGTTTTTGTCCTATCTCTTGCCTTCCCTACAGTATTTTTTGCATCTATCTAAAGAAATTGCTTTCCGCCATCGTAATCAGTTTGCACCTGAAGGAAAAACGTTTGTTTGATGGTTTTTCTGCAGTTTCGCAGATTAGTCTTACCCTGTATGTGGTGATGTCTATAGCACTGCAGGGCAAGACTAAACCTTTACAATTTATTTCAATTCAGAATTTTAACTTATTAATATTACAGTATATTTATTTTTAGTATATACTAAAACAGTGGACAGTGTTTTTCGGACGCTCTGATTGGCTACTCAATCAGTGAATATCCTGCACCATTCACTGTTTCACCTCCAGTTCCTCCGAGCGAGCGACGCCAAACTCGTGTAGGTTGCGAGCAAAATGCTTTCCCGGTTTGCTGCCGTAACAAACCAAGAAATTTCACAACTAATCAAGCAAGCTTAGTTTCCGAAATACATGAAGAAGGTGACGAAGTTCGGTTTGGAAGTTTCAACAGGTAAAGCTTTGTCTTTTTTACTTGAATAGTTATCGATAAAACAGGTGAAAAAGTTTTAGTTTACAAATGCAAATTAAGCTTAAGTCTTGCATTACTTTATTTTGTTGACTTGTTCATAAATAAGCTTAAAACTAATTTTAATAATCTTTTTTACAGAATTATTTTAAATACAAACAGAATTCACAACTCCTTTTGAAGAAACTTCCCCGCAAGAGCTAAACAAACGCCTTCAAAAGTTTTATTTGTCGCTAAGAAAAAGCGACGACCGTGGCTGTTTGGTCATCGCGCGCCAAAATTTTGTGCTCAAATATCTCACTGTTTTAGTATATACTAAAACAGTTATTCACCTTAGTGTCAGTGGCTAGTAGTGGATATTTAGTGGGCTGCCGTAAGAAAAAAAAGAAGAAGAATGCTTGTGATGTAAAGTAGAAGCAGCTCTCTTTTAGCAACATGCGATTTCTTAAGCTGTCTTAGAAAATATAGTCTTGTTGAGACCTTCCTAACTAGTTCTGACACATGGACATTCCACTTTAAATCACTGCTAATATTGAGTCCTAACAATTTCACACTCTTCACAGTCTCTATACGCCATGAATAATCGACATGAAAAGGTGTCTGACTGACACACTCTAAAAAAACTGTGTAGTTAAGTTAGATACGACTTTTTGAACTAAACACAGATGCGATGATTCCTAGCCAGTCCTATCAGGCCTTACACTTGCGATTTCATTTTAAGGTTTACCCTTCTATCCCTTTCTGCATCGCAATTCCCCTACTACTATCTATAAGTCAGAATGACCTCTGGCTACTCGGGAATTAAACAAAGGAATAAAAAGCCAAAATAGTTTTCTAGCCGTTAAATTTTTCTTTCACTACATATTGCATATACACGGCGCGAAATGTGAAAGATTTACCTATTTTCCTTTAACTTTCCTAAAATCAGGGGAAGATCTTAACGCAAGCTTACTCTAACCCAGCGCGTCATTACAGTAACATTAGGGCATCTTTATCCTATTCTTATTACATGTACAGATAGCTAACCAGTATTTAGCTGTTGAGAGGCAACTTACCAACAATGGCATTTGCTGAATCACTGCCCTCACTATTCGTCGCTGTACAAGTATAGGTAGTATCATTCAAGACCTCAGGAATAGTTAAGGTAGCAGTATTGCAGCTATCTTTGCATGGACTCCATGAAAATGTTGGTTCAGGATATCCTTCAGCTTGACACTGAAGAGTAACACTCTGCTGTACCACAACTTTGTACTCTTGGTCAGAATGAATAAGCTTTGGAGGAACTAGAATAATAACCAGTTAACCATCAGTAGCTGTTCAACTTTACTTTTGACAATGATTGAGTGATGCTGAGTATAGTGTGAAAAATTGTCCAGATCGAGAAGACTGTCATCGTGGAAAACAGCCACCGAGGTCTGCATTTTTATTGTTCTCATCATACTAAAGCCGAATTCAATACTTGTTTTTAATTGATTCGCTATATTTTTAACTTCTTAACAAGCTTGCCTCCATGTGAATTTCATCTAAACTTTGACCTCTTCCTCTGTACGGGTAAAAACAAATGATTTTTTCTTGCAAATATTCCTCTAGTACCTTCTATATAACAGATTGATAGAGCAGACTATGTTTTGCTTATTCTTGCATTTCTTCTGTTCCATTTTAGTCAGAAACTCAGCTATTTCGTCTTCGGATCGCTGTGAACGCCTTTTTTTAAATTTCAGTCGTGAATATACTAGGTGGCCACGCCTGGAAATGAGGTTGATCAATGGTACATTGCCCACGCAGCCTACTTTCCAATCCAATATAACATTGATAAACCTCATTTCTAGCCAACATATATATATACCTTTGAATCAAAGGAATATTGCTCCCATCTCCCACAGTTGGTCAACGCCAGAGGCTTTGAGCCAATGAAAAAATATTATGTCGAAATATTTAGAATAAATAAAACTATTATTCATTTAAAATATTTCGCGCTTTCTGACTGGCTCTAATCCCCCAAGTGATTCTTTACAACCAACTGGTGCTTGCCATATTTAGAAGATGGTGACAATGTACCATCGATTCCGTGGTATATTTGATTACAAAGGATGTTGAGTGATGGCATATTATTTGATTGGAAATAAGGCTGCTTGGGCAATAGTGAACTAAAAAAAGGAAGTTTTACTGCTATTTGAAGAAGAAATAGCTGAATTTCAGACGTAAATTGAATGAAAGAAATGCAAGAATAAATTATGGAAACACATATTGCTGGATGATGGATGTTATCAATTTTCTAGGGAATATCTAACATACATGTAAATATAATTTATAACATCCTCATCAGTCTGCATACAGCTGTAATTCTTCACATCCTACTCAACGTCATTCAATAATAATGTTAAATATATGCTGCAATTACCGTAGTCTGAACTGTATTTGGTGGCTATGCCCTTTCCTTAACAACAAGTATTATCAATAGTAATGAATGCAGTTTACAATGTACTATGGTGCTGAACCTCTAATTTAAAAAAACCACCAAACTCCTATTTACATGGATGAAGGAAGGAAACAGTCTCAATCAATGTTTTAAACTAACAATAGTCAAAGCCATTGCTTGAGTGTGAACACCGACCACTAGACCCAGAGTCCATTGTGTATGAGTACATGTGAAAGGCACAAATTAAGCTTTCAAATCAAACTTATATGGCAGATGTGTAGCAATGTATGATCATTGAGAAAGTAAAACTAATTTCAGCTTCTTCAACTTACATGTAAGCACAAAAATTGCTTGTCAGACAACAGCGGACAGTTCGTGACGAACCACAGCTTACCCCGCAAAATGACTTCTGAGAAACGAGCACAGAAAGTCCATACTAAAGACGAATGGCTACCGAGATCTGGGTTATAGAGCTTCTCGTTGGTCTTGCTGCATGGAAAATTTGCTTCAGCTAATAACAGGCACACCCAGATCTAGGTGGTGACGAGTCATCAGTATGGAATTTCTATGCTCATTTCTGCTGTTTAATGTAAGAATGTATATGTAAAAAGCAACCATACAGGGATTCTATTCTGAATGTGCTAATTGTTGCAAGAAGTACATATTTATGTACATTGCCAATGAATGTTACATGACCCTTTAATTATTGTATGACTGGAATGTAAAGCCAACGAAATTAATATGACCCTCCACAGGATTTTGAGGAATAACATGCTAAACAACAGGCCGTGAGAGAAATGACACCCTAGTTTGTTGGCTGAATTCTCAGATGACAATTTGTGATGCTTGAATTCACAGAAATAGAAATGACAACATTGGTATGGAATAGGGTAGATTTGTCAAAAGAGAAGGGTTAGACACTTAGACATCCGAGGACATTATTTATAATTACAGTATACCACCTTAGCCGTCCAACTGTTATCCTTTTCTTTAGCATAAGCTTATTTCATGTTACATAGTTCATGTACTTACATAAAACCTTCACTGTGATAGTATGGCTGACAGGACTACCTATTCCATTGTAAGCTGTACAGCGGTATTTCCCAGCATTGGTTTGGTTGATGCTTGCAATTTTCCAAGAAGTTCCTGTGTGAAGCACTTGGCTCTCACTGCCATTCTCAAACACTTTGGTCCAAGTGATGCTAGGGACTGGTTTACCAGATGCTCCACAGTACAGACTCAGGTCTGACCTTTCTTTGACAGAATGGTCACCACTCACATTATTAAAGAGTGTGGGTGAGACTAAGAGTAAGAAAAGGAAAAACCATGTGAAAAAGTGATACCACAGCTTCAAGACAAAAGACAACAATAATTATACAGCTGTAGTTCTTACAGCAATTACCAAAGGTTCAAAAATATAATACACTGTACATGTATATCAATAATATATAACAATTATTCACTGAAGTGGAGGTGGCTAGTATTGGATATTTACCGAGGCCTGACTACAAAAGTCATACACATGTACAGGTATTGAGACCCTCCTTATTTTTTTTTCATGTCCTCGGGGTGACAAATTCTTAGTGTACATACATCTCACTTTTTCACATGGTTTTTCCTTTTCTTACTCTTAGTCTCACCCACACTCTTTAATAATGTGAGTGGTGACCATTCTGTCAAAGAAAGGTCAGACCTGAGTCTGTACTGTGGAGCATCTGGTAAACCAGTCCCTAGCATCACTTGGACCAAAGTGTTTGAGAATGGCAGTGAGAGCCAAGTGCTTCACACAGGAACTTCTTGGAAAATTGCAAGCATCAACCAAACCAATGCTGGGAAATACCGCTGTACAGCTTACAATGGAATAGGTAGTCCTGTCAGCCATACTATCACAGTGAAGGTTTTATGTAAGTACATGAACTATGTAACATGAAATAAGCTTATGCTAAAGAAAAGGATAACAGTTGGACGGCTAAGGTGGTATACTGTAATTATAAATAATGTCCTCGGATGTCTAAGTGTCTAACCCTTCTCTTTTGACAAATCTACCCTATTCCATACCAATGTTGTCATTTCTATTTCTGTGAATTCAAGCATCACAAATTGTCATCTGAGAATTCAGCCAACAAACTAGGGTGTCATTTCTCTCACGGCCTGTTGTTTAGCATGTTATTCCTCAAAATCCTGTGGAGGGTCATATTAATTTCGTTGGCTTTACATTCCAGTCATACAATAATTAAAGGGTCATGTAACATTCATTGGCAATGTACATAAATATGTACTTCTTGCAACAATTAGCACATTCAGAATAGAATCCCTGTATGGTTGCTTTTTACATATACATTCTTACATTAAACAGCAGAAATGAGCATAGAAATTCCATACTGATGACTCGTCACCACCTAGATTGGGTGTGCTTGTTATTAGCTGAAGCAAATTTCCCATGCAGCAAGACCAAGGAGAAGCTCTATAACCCAGATCTCGGTAGCCATTCGTCTTCAGTATGGAATTTCTGTGCTCGTTTCTCAGAAGTCATTTTGCGGGGTAACCTGTGGTTTCGTCACGAACTGTCCGCTGTTGTCCGACAAGCAATTTTTGTGCTTACATGTAAATTGAAGAAGCTGCAATTAGTTTTCATTTCTCAATGATCATACATTGCTACACATCTGCCTTATAAGTTTGATTTGAAAGCTTATTATTTGTGCCTTTCACATGTACTCATACACAATGGACTCTGTGTCTAGTGGTCGGTGTTCACACTCAAGCAATGGCTTTGACTATTGTTAGTTTAATACATTAATTGAGACTGTTTCCTTCCTTCATCCATGTAAATAGGGGTTTGATGGTTTTTTTAATTAGAGGTTCAGTCCCATAGTAAAATGCATTCATTACTATTGATGATACATGTTGTTAAGGAAAGGGCATAGCCACCAAATTCAGTTCAGACTACGGTAATTGCAGCATATATTTAACACTATTATTGAATGACATTGAGTAGGATGTGAAGAATTACAGCTGTATACAGACTGATGAGGATGTTATATATTTACATGTATGTTAGATATTCCCCTAGAAAATTGGATAACATCCATCATCCAGCAATATGTGTTTCCATAATTTATTCTTGCATTTCTTTCATTCAATTTACGTCTGAAATTCAGCTATTTCTTCTTCAAATAGCAGTAAAACTTCCTTTTTTTAGTTCACTATTGCCCAAGCAGCCTTATTTCCAATCAAATAATATGCCATCACTCAACATCCTTTGTAATCAAATATACCACGGAATCGATGGTACATTGTCACCATCTTCTAAATATGGCAAGCACCAGTTGGTTGTAAAGAATCACTTGGGGGATTAGAGCCAGTCAGAAAGCGCGAAATATTTTAAATGAATAATAGTTTTATTTATTCTAAATATTTCGACATAATATTTTTTCATTGGCTCAAAGCCTCTGGCGTTGACCAACTGTGGGAGATGGGAACAATATTCCTTTGATTCAAAGGTATATATATATGTTGGCTAGAAATGAGGTTTATCAATGTTATATTGGATTGGAAAGTAGGCTGCGTGGGCAATGTACCATTGATCAACCTCATCTCCAGGCGTGGCCACCTAGTATATTCACGACTGAAATTTAAAAAAAGGCGTTCACAGTGATCCGAAGACGAAATACCTGAGTTTCTGACTAAAATGGAACAGAAGAAATGCAAGAATAAGCAAAACATAGTCTGCTCTATGAATGCGTTATATACAATGTACTAGAGGAATATCTGCAAGAAGAAATCATTTGTTTATATCCTGAATCCGTGCAGAGGCAGAGGTCAAAGTTTAGATGAAATTCACATGGAGGCAAGCTTGTTAAGAAGTTAAAAATATAGCGAATCAATTAAAAACAAGTATTGAATTCGGCTTTAGTATGATGAGAACAATAAAAATGCAGACCTCGGTGGCTGTTTTCCACGATGACAGTCTTCTCGATCTGGACAATTTTTCACACTATACTCAGCATCACTCAATCATTGTCAAAAGTAAAGGTGAACAGCCACTGATGGTTAACTGGTTATTATTCTAGTTCCTCCAAAGCTTATTCATTCTGATCAAGAGTACCAAGTTGCGTTGCAGCAGAGTGTTACTCTTCAGTGTCAAGCTGAAGGATATCCTGAACCAACGTTTTCATGGAGTCCATGCAAAGATAGCTGCAATACTGCTACCTTAACTATTCCTGAGGTCTTGAATGATACTACCTATACTTGTACAGCGACGAATAGTGAGGGCATTGATTCAGCAAATGCCATTGTTGGTAAGTTGCATCTCAACAGCTAAATACTGGTTAGCTACCTGTACATGTAATAAGAATAGGATAAAGATGCCCTAATGTTACTGTAATGACGCGCTGGGTTAGTGTAAGCTTGCGTTAAGATCTTTCCTTGATTTTTAGGAAAGTTAAAGGAAAGATAGGTAAATCTTTCACATTTCGCGCAGTGTATATGCAGTATGTAGTGAAAGAAAAATTTAACGGCTAGAAAACTATTTTGGCTTTTTATTCCTTTGTTTAATTCCCGAGTAGCCAGAGGTCATTCTGACTTATAGATAGTAGTAGGGGAATTGCGATGCAGAAAGGGATAGAAGGGTAAACCTTAAAATGAAATCGCAAGTGTAAGGCCTGATAGGACTGGCTAGGAATCATCGCATCTGTGTTTAGTTCAAAAGTCGTATCTAACTTAACTAGTTTTTTTTTTTTTTTTTAGAGTGTGTCAGTCAGACACCTTTTCATGTCGATTATTCATGGCGTATAGAGACTGTGAAGAGTGTGAATATTTTAGGACTCGATATTAGCAGTGATTTAAAGTGGAATGTCCATGTGTCAAAACTAGTTAGGAAGGCCTCAACAAGACTATATTTTCTAAGACAGCTTAAGAAATCGCATGTTGCTAAAAGAGAGCGACTTCTACTTTACATCACAAGCATTCTTCTTCTTTTTTTTCTTACGGCAGCCCACTTTTTCATCGCGATCTACCAAGCTGTCTATACGAAAACCTAGGAAGACTGCAAAAACGCGCTATGAAGATTATTTACCCTGAGCTATCATATGCTAAGGCTCTAGAGCTGTCCTGACTTTTAACACAGTACATATGCTTCTGCACAGTATCATAGAAGAGAGGCAATTGCGGCGATCTATCTATCTATCTATCTATCTATCTGTCTGTCTGTCTGTCTGTCTGTCTGTCTGTCTGTCTATCTATCTATCTATCTATCTATCTATCTATCTATCTATCTATCTATCTATCTATCTATCTATCGGATAGAAGTATATGTACTGTGTTAAAAGAAGCGAACTTAAGATTGACTATGGACGACTCAAAGCCAATACGAAAACCCTCACGTAATCCGGACAACACATAGGCCACTGCTGCCTGGTCAGGATGATGCTGCAGCTCTGTCTGAAATTGATCCAGCCGTAGTTGAGAGACCTGGGAGGCTGGGGCTAATGGCGAGAAAGAATGAACAGAAACTGCAACGCTGGGTATACTAACTGGAACTGGAACAGAACAAGACGATTTGACCGAGGAACGTAGATCAAGCTGCCCCCTTGAAGACGCAACAAAACTATTTACACTATGTACACAAGCCTCACCGGGCATAACCGCCCATTCAGTACCGTACCCCTCTCCCCCCGGGTTGGGGAGATCGGGATCGTGCGCCAGAGGAGTTGGGAAATGGACAATTGATCTGGGTGTGTTCACCCTCACAGTTACTGCAGCGGTGTCGATATTTGCACCTACCAAAGGGCCAGGGGCACTGGCCATCATTCCGTGAATGACAACAAGGAGGGACCAGGCTGGAGTCACGGGAGGCGCAGGAAGTGGAGCTGATGCCGTGGAAGAAGACGACCGAGGTGGCGGGGGTGAGGCCATGGCTGGAGACCTTAAGTGAAAGTTGTATAGGTCTAAGTTCATCCTTCACCAGTCACTGAGGCTAGAGGCAGCCGCATTCTTTCTGAACGCCAGGTCATACTCTAAACAGGCTGAGCTAGAAAAATGACGAGCCGTTTGAATGATAAGCAGCTTATACTTGGAGAGATCGGGCCAACGATGAGGGTGAGCCGCGCACAGCACCATCTGAAAAATAGTGAAGGCTTCCGTCCAAGTCAAAATGTCTTTTATTTCCACTTGCCTGCGTTTTGACGAGGACACCACGAGCTTACCATCGAGGAACGTTTGCGGCTCCTGCTCCACGGCGCGGAGGTTCACGGACAACAAATCTGCCAACTCGACAAACTGGCCACCAACAATTTTTGACACCAGTTTTGAAGGAATAGGGGCATGCCCAGGACCAACGATAAAAGCCTTCTCAGACTTGGGAGATGCCAACGAAGACTCAAGGCTTGGAAGACCGCTAGTAACGCCGGGCGATACGAAAGTGGAGGGAGTAGGTGCCACGGGGCGGGCCGAGCTCGAGACGATAATGGCCGGCACTGGCACTAGACGTAGGAACAAACGCGGGAAGGGTAAACGTACCTGAAGCCACCCAAGAAACACCGTCACTTGTACTCGCATTCGAAGCGGACGCTGAAGACAGTAAAGGTTGTGGAGCCCCGCTAGCAGAAACGCTTGGAACCGATGAATCGGATCTGGATCTCTGGATCGTTGAAACAATGGCGGGAATGGAGTTTCCGATTGCCCGAACCACAGCCTCGGTGAGGGAGTCAGCCAACTGAGGCGACCCAGAACTAGAAGCCGTACTCGACACAGGACTTTCAGACGTTGCCGTAGTTGGAAGGGAGTCTTCGGTAGGAAGGCCCGCCGATAAGCTGTTGTTGGTCGAGCGAGGTGGGCGCGGCATTACAGAGGACAACCAAAAACTCTCCAGCAGAGGACGAACCACAACAGGAACAACGACGAACAACGGTAACGAAAACCACTTCGACAGGAAAAAAACTTTGACAGAACCAAGAGAAAAAGCTATGCTACTCGAACTGAGACACCAAGCTAACCAAAACTAGGGCAGAACCAAGAGAAACGCTACGCTACTGGAACGCCACGCCACGCCACACTAACAAAGCTTCGAGTACAACGCAAACACAACGTAGGCACGTGGCCTCCGCGTGCGCCAAAGCGACATACCGCTGGACAGGAATCTGCCCCCATGCTCACGAACAATGGTAAACGCTACAAACGCAAATATAGTCACGCACAATGCTAGAGGCGACCAACGCGCTACCAAAGAATGCCAAAAACACCCGAGACCACAGCTCTTAGTCGTTAACTACATTAAATATGATTTAATAGTATTCTATCTGTAAATAAAACTACTTGTATGCTAGACTTGTAGGATAAACACGTTCGTAAAAATATACTATTACTTAAAATAGGTTTTGTCACCTTAGACCCCCCGCGTGACTCAGACAAACTTTGCATTCTACTCCAAGGCTTTGTATTGGAAACATACTTTTCCGACATGAACATTGTTCAGAAAATTCGCAGTGAACGTTTTTAATGTGTTTTTTGAGCATAATTCCAATATATAAAAGGTACTACTGCCACTGGGAGTAATACCTGGCCCAGTAACTCAAATAAATGGTTAAAATCAGAAAATAAAGCGACTCGATCAAAGAAGGCTACTGAAATCGGATCCCTAGCTCTGTGTCTTTAAATAGGCAGAAAGCACCGCTATGCACTGAAACATGACATAACATTATTGGCTGTGTAATACTCCAAACCGAAACTGGTAAAGAGAAAATCGAGTTTGGATGTGCTTCTCGCAAGCCTGTGACAGAATATCTAAGGTGAAAAGCACGCCAATATTAGCACAAACCGGAAATTGTCTAAGTTTGTTCTGTTGTTGTGCGGCCAGGTAGACCATATGAATTCGGGACGAATACTTTAGTACTTTATATCCCCTAGTACTAAGTAGCGTAACATAAGCACTCGAAAAAACATTGAGCAACCTTTGCCTATAAATTTAACCAAATTCACCGTTTCACGCACAGCTATGAAGCCCTGCTCTCCACACATTTTAACATAATTTTACCCACATCATTTTGACGCCGCATAAGAAATAAAACCACTCATCTGTACAGTTTTTTCCACGTTTAACGCTGTCTTGGCACGCGTTGATTATTTTCAGGATATTTATTATCGAACCCAGGCTGGATTTTGTTTCCTTTAACGCTAAACATCTTCAAAGACGACGAAAATTTGTTGCCGAACGTGACTTTCCCATACTAAACTCTTACACTGGTCAGGTTTAATGTCTGAGTCACAGCAGGGACCAGAAATTTGTGACGTCATTAGTAGAAAGCGCTATTATGGGAAGATTGGTAACGTGAAACCATTGACCGCCAACCGCAGTTTGTCGTTTGCAGTAAAATAACCAAACCTCGATATTTTAAAAGGTCTCTAGTGTCCACTTTCGTACACTTTCATTGTACTTCTGTTATTAACACTAAATTGAAATCATAGTCAGTCCCATTTAATGAAGTTAAATTCATAGTCCAGATAATATCATTGTTCAATACGTTGGCACACTGTAATTTTTAGAAAACAAAATATTCTTATTTATTTGCAATAATAGACTTTTAACTATTATCGTTCGTTTGCTTTATCGTTATATAAATGTTTCGTTCTTAGTCATTGCAGGCAACAAGATAAACGTTACAATGACCATCAAAGATGATAAAGAATGCTCTGATGCGAAGGGACAATACAATAAATCTTCATTGTCACGGGAACTTTCTGTTACGGTAAAGTTGCAACTGTAGTGTCAATATGGGTTTGCTAGGAGGATTTAATCAGCGTAAGAAGTGTTTTTGTTTTTCAAGCCTACTGCTCTGATCAAGTTTTCAAGAAAGCGCAGTAAAATTAGAAACCCCACCATGAAGGGACATGTTTTGTTTACATAAGCCTTTGTAAAACCAAAATGTAAACTTGGCCTTAATAGGTATGGCTATGTTTAATTCCCCTCAAGTTACCACTGGCCACGCGCGCGTCTCTATTCTAAAAGGTACAACCTTGGCGTTTCTTTCAGTAGCTATCAATTCGAACGAATGGCGAATTCCGAAAGAAAGACATTGAGCAAACCTGACAGTTAAGAAACGGTACAGGATTTTTGAAGAAGGGTCAGACCGAGGAAAGCGCTTTTGGATTCGAAATAACTGACAAGTAAGCCCTAGAAAGGGGGCCGAAACCTGCAAACAAAAGTCTAGCCCCCAAGGAAGAGACAATTTTGACCCTGCCATGGTGGGTGACCCTATAATGTTTAAATCGGACATTTACATCGGTGGAAATTTCGAATCAACGCTGTGATTTAGGGTGCCTGTGGCCCCTATTGGCACCATCTTTTCGCTCCATGTAAACAGGTGCCTAGTTTAGCCTTTGTAGCGAGCATTTCTACGCGGCATACAACATACCGCGGAAATGCTTACTACACGGGCTTTTGTGAACTGGACTATAATCTCCAACCTTTCTCTTTTTTTAAATTCTGTTAATTTCTAGATGAGGGGAGTGTTTGCTGGTGAAAGTAGCTACCTCAGAACAACTGTAAATAATGTCAGGTAATGAAAAAACGGCATTTTTGATTTCCAATTAAGAGCCACATCGAACAGCAACAGTATAAATCTAAAAGTAGGTTGAGTTTGATCGTCCGGGTGAACGTAGTCCTGAAGAGGACTGTTGTTGTTGACAGTGACTGACGTTTCGACAACCTGTGCGGTAGTCATCTTCAGAGTCAAAGTGAGTTGTATCACGTCAGTTGATGGTATTATACTCTGGTTATTGATGGTTATTATACTCTGGTTATTGACACTGATTCCAACACTCAGACCAACTCTGGCCCTGTTAGGACAGCGACTATACCGTACATCCGAGGCACCTCTGAAACTATTGCACGTATATTACAACCTTACAATATACATGTTGCACACAAACCGATAACCACTTTACGGCGAGTGCTTACTAATGTCAAGGACAAGGACAAACCGGAGGACAGACAGGGAGCAGTATTCAAGATCAAATGCTGCGACTGCCAGGCTTCTTACATTGGTGAAACCTAAGCACGCGACGGACCGAACACAAACGAGCGACGAAGAATGGTGACGTCAACAGTAATTGCTGAGCACCATTTAAAGACGGAACATCAAATTGACTGGGACTCTGCGACATGTATAACGTATTCTACAGACTACTATCAACGTCTTACTTTAGAAAGCTGGTTTACTAACTTAGAACAAACGCCACTGAATCGTAGCCAACAGTTACCAGCGCCGTACAAACGTCTTATTGACTAGATCAAGCAAAACTAACTACGAGAGAATGACAATTTGACTAACAATAGACGACTGTTTAACTGTGACAGTAGACGGATCGAAACGCACCAATTACTGATTACGAGTCTTCATAGACAATAACATCACGGCTTAACTGCCAGACGACCAGTAACATCGCGACGTAATTGACCAATCAGATCAATAACCAGAGTATGATACCCCCATCAACTGACGTGATACAACTCACTTTGTCTCTGAAGGTGACTACCGTACAGGTTGTCGAAACGTCAGTTACTGTCAACAACAACAGTCCTATTCAGGACTACGTTCACCCGGACGAACAAACTCAACCTACTTTTGAAGTGACTCCTGAGTTCAAACCTTTCACAGTATAAATCTAGTGTTCTTAGTCGAGATTATTTACATGTAAAACCTCGCTTTATCTCTGGGTACCTGCTTAGCGGCCCGTTTTACAGTACGCTTTTTTTTCTTTCACATTGTGAGTAAGGAGGCCTTGTCCACAACGATAATCGAACTCGGTACTCCTTTTCATTTAGATGTATGTGCCTCATTACCATTTAGTGCCATCAAGACACATCTTCACGATGAAAGAACTTACCCTATAGTGAAAAATTCACCATTTGCGAAGGAGTTAGTCAAAAGTGTGACTTGCTTAACATTTGGTGATTTCCTTTTTAGTGGACCAACGGGTGGAAGGAAGCCCAAACTCAGATGATATATTGAATCTCTAATAACCTTGTTTTTTTCTTATAGATGTGGAAGTGTGATTGTCGATCTCACCCTGAGTTTTAGTGCCATCGTCACCGAAAAGCGGATACTAAATATACTTCAAGACGCCGCTAAGGATGGGACGCTTGGAAATCTCAATGTAGATGCTTCATCCATTAAAGGAACACGAGCAGATATTCTAGTTGCAACCCGCCCAGCCATTGGTAAAACTACACCAAAGCCACGTGATGGTATGATTTTAAGTAAAAAGTGTTTTCTTTTGACATAATTTAACCTTGAGTTATAATTATTTGAAAGTCCCACATGTTCAGCTAAACACTGTTCTGGCCATCTGAGGCTCTTGTTACCCTTTTACTTGCATCTGAGGTGGTGGCTATATGGAATAAGCTCATGTTTAATTTCCACATTGTATGACTAACCAATTTCGGGGAACTGTCTGGAAATATCAAATATTTATGAACTGGGTTAACTGCACCACACTATTTGTTTTGATTTTTCTTTTCTTTTTTGATCAGCATAGCCTCTCCTCTATATTGTCTGTTAAGTTTCAAGTTCAAGTTTATTTATTATATATTAAAAACAACTATTACAATCAAATCTGACTGACCTGCAAGTAGCTAAAATTAATCGAGGCAGGTCAGTCTCACCAGTTTTAAAATATTACAGGTGTAAAAAAAGGTAGGAGTTTTTCAGAAAAAAGGAGAGAAATGTATAAGTAATATCGTTCCACATTAAACAAAAACAAAGGAAAACTAATTAAAGGACAAAACAAAAGAAACATTTATGATGATAGGTACTACTGTAGTTATATATGTAGAAGGACGAGTTGTAAGTTAATATTTTTTAAGTCTGGCCATGAGTTTGTCGTTACCTATTTAGTTGTCTTCGGTTTTCGGTATGTTTAGTAAAGCTCCTTTTAGTTTTTTTTACCTGAAGGTCTTCCTTGATATGTTGTTTTAAGCTATTTGGCATCTCATTCCATATCTTTGCGCCATCGCGAGAGAATGCATTCTTTTGTACGTCAAGTCTAGATTTTTTTATGTAGAAATTTTGTGAAGTTGATGATCGTGTAGAATAGTGATGTGAATTTGATGTCCTTGAAAACAAGTTCAAAATATTTATCGGTGCATTTCTTTTGTCTGTGTCGTGCATTAAGTTTAAGACGGATTCATAAGACAAGAAATTTAATGACAATAATTAAGCATTCACAAGTAAAGGAATAGCACGATCCTGTCTATTTGCAGAATATATTAAGAGTATAAGTGCACGTTTTTAAAGGTACGTATTTGTCGAGATACGTTTTTCAGGCGTTTCCCCCAAGATACAAGACCATAGCTTAAGTAAGCTGTAATCAGTGCGTTGTAAATGTTCACAAGAACAGAAGAAGGTATAAAGTGCGTTAGTTTAGATAGCATACCAATCGTTTTACTTATCTTGCTGGCAATTGTGACAATATGTTTTCTCCAAGAAAGATTCTCATCTATTTATACTCCTAGGTATATACGTTACTGTTTCATTCGTTTTATTTGTTGTTTAATAAGGTAATTCAGCTTTTTCAAGGTAACCAAGATTTGAGGTTTTCTTTTCAGTGATATTTTTTCTTATGCGTAACATGCCATGCATGACTTTGCAAAACTACAATCGAAAGTATAATACAGTTTATACAGATTTTACCACTTGTAAGCAACTTTGAAGTAGAAATGTGTGGTAACTTAAGGACTGTTGTTATAACCTCGTGAGGCCTGCATGGTTTTTTAAGGCAAACTTACTCCGCACAACTCACCTTCTTTCTATGTGTGTAAGATATATGCGTTACGGTTCTTTTGGTGATCTCGCAGTACTAAAAAATGTGTCAAAAATATTATTCTATATGGTGATTTAAAATCTTTCTCACCGCAAAAAAATCTTCTGATGTCTCTCTACTTGCAAATGTGGAAGTCTAACTGTCAAACTGGCTCTTGAATTTATATCGATTGTATCAGAAGCTTTGATAGTTGATACGCTTCGAACAGCTGCCACAAATAATTTTGGAGAATTCGCAGTTAACGCTTTATCCATAAAATGAATTCTTGTTACTAAAGTACAGTCACGCAACCTACTGAAAAAACTACAGCAACATCCTCAATGCATGATGGTATGACTTAATTCGACATCAATAGTTTCTCCAGCGATTTTCAGCAATCGGGTACTGATTTATGGTGTTTTAAGGTAATGCAACTACAGGCTTTTTGTGGGGTAATATATATTTTTTCTAGTTTGGGATAGACACCAAAGGGTGTAAAAAAAAAAGGAAAAAATTAAATGAGTAGGATTGAAAAGAATATGATTAATATTAGTTATTTTTTTGTACCAGTAGTGTATATATATAGACATCGTTTCATTCATTTATTTTCTTCATCTATAAATTGATGAGAGCTTTAGTTAACGGTAAGAGTGTGAGCTATAAGGGGGTCTGATAATTGACCCTCAGGTACACTGACAAAAAGGTGTTAATTCTATGATCGTGAATGCCTTTGTCTTTCTTTATTTAAAGTTAACTCGCAATTCATGAAATAAGGAATTGAAGTGAAACTACATATATGTGTTATTTGCCGGCCGGGAGGTCCGTATAGGTAAAAGAAAAACTTTGAGCGAGGTACTCAATTCTGAGAGCACAACAACCGGCAAATAGCGTATTCAAATCTTTTTCCTACCCATGATATTTTCAGGTAAATTCTGCTTCAGTGTTAAACTTATGTGTGTGGGTGGGCGTGTGTGTGTGTGTGTGTTGATGTAGCGCGCTACCGCGAAAACTGAATTTTACAGCGTTTTTACATGTAGTTATCGTCACGTGTAATTATTATCACAAGTCAAAGTTTCCTCATTATAAAGAAAGGTGTGTATCTTGATAGACAAATCAATAAATCTGTTTTCGTGTCAAACAAGTATAAAAGAATCAGCAAACTCGAGAAAAGTTAGTATGATATTGTATGATCTATCAATGCTCTTCGTCCCTTTAAAATTAAAGTGCATCTCAAACATACACAGTAGTCACCAGTAATCATGGAAGGTTCAGCAGCGTAGTTGAAATTGTTTTTCGTTATAACCATTGCAATGGATCGCAGCGCTAAACTATTCCAATAAAATGGTAAGCCTGTGGTAATGACTCCTTGTCTAATTCCAGACGATAAACTACCAATCATTCTTGCTATCGTCATACCTATTGTTGTGCTTGCTGTCTTTGCTGGAGTCTTCGCTTTGTGGCTGTGGAGGAGAAATAAGGACAAGAAGATGGCGAAAAAGGGTGATTAAATAAAGTTATATAACTAAAGAAATTTGTTCGAGCCCTCTGTGCTCAATTTGCAAAACAAGCAGTACAGGCGAAATTTTGGGAAGGATTTCGTACAAACCCCAACATTTATAATGCATGCTGTAATTTTAAACCTTTTCACACAAATAGCTTACATACATCGCTGGAAACATCAATGCATAATAAATGTATGGAGATGTGCGGATATATCACCAGAATTTAATTCCCTTAATTCTTAGAGCACTGCTAGGTAATTATAGACTTCGCTGTTATAACTTGGTAAATTTTAAGAATAAAATTTCTAGACTATCAAACTAACAAAACCGTGAACATCTCGGAAATATTTGAAAACTGTTTATTGTGATGGCGACCAATCACAACATGGATCAGGACACACTTGCATGCCACAGGACCACAGTCTAATTAAAGCACAGGAAGCTCTGTGGAAGTTCGTTTGCATTTAAATTTTATAAGAGAATGTATGAGAACAAACAAAATGGGTTCTAAATTTCGCTTTTTTAATTTTTGAAAAGATTCGAATAAAATGGCTCACCTGTTTGCTCTGTATGTTACAGATCAGTTCGCTTCTCGAGTCATTTAGAAGCCATTTCGGCGAGTTTTAGACTTTTGAGTTGTACGTACCATAAAAAAGGGAAAATTAGTCATGCTTCAGCATTTTACTCCTCATTGGTGTCGAGTAAGTGTCGAGTTAGGTCGAAGTAAATCATTAATATGCACATGGGTCGAGTCCGTAACGTCACCCACTGTTATAATTAATTTAGGGGAAAAGTGCGTTCCTCCATACGTAATAGGTGCGTTCCTCCATTCTTATTAAGTGCCTTCCTCCATATATAGTGAAGTGGATAGGTTTATTGATGAGCGAATACTACAATAGGCCGCAATAGGCTTGCCTCGACTTGCCCGTTAAGTAACTTGAGCCCGGTTTTCGGACCGTCTATTAAAGGAAAATAGGAGCAATCACCTAGGAACGCGAGAAACGGCTTCTTATATCTTATTTAGCGCTAAAACTCGGATACATCTACAAAACTCACGCACATATACACAAAGTGTAATAAAATTGTGGAGGAGGGAATAAAAACATTGAAGCGGGAAAATAATAAAATTGTGGAGGAGAGAAAAAAAAATTGAGGAGGGAAATAAAAATGAAAAGGGAGAGGGGTAAGTAAAACATTGTGCGCAGTGTAAAAAAGGACTGCTTGCCTTCTTTGACTATTTTAATAGAATCTTTAATATGATCTTTTTGCAATTATTTTAATAAAGGGTCATAAAGTTGATTTCTTGTGTCTTAAGAAACGTGTCTGGTTTTATTGTAGCAATTATTAGTCGCGTCTTTCAATTGATCCTTGTTAAGTTATTAATTGTTTTTTTTTGTGTGTGTTTTTTTTTATAATAATAAGTCAAGATGCTCTCGTGGGGTTTTTACTGCAGAGCTAATTTTTATGCAATGGTGGGCTTGTGAACTCGCATAATTACCTGACTAACGGCGCGTGAAATGCTGAGATAGAACGGAGAAAACGCTTCTGTAATAGTCAGACAAAATTGAAATAGAGAGTTTTCAGCTCCACTTTGTGTATATGTGCGTGTGTTTTGTAGATGTATCCGAGTTTTAGCGCTAAATAAGATATAAGAAGCTGTTTCTCGCGTTGCTAGGTGATTGCTCTTAATTCCTTTTAATAGACGGTCCGAAAACCTGGCTCAAGGTACTTAACGGGCAAGTCGAGGCAAGCCTATTGTGCCTATCGTAGTATTCGCTCATTAGTAAACCTATCCACTTCATTATATATGGAGGAAGGCACTTAATTAGTATGGAGCAACGTACTTATTACGTATGGAGGAACGCACTTTTCCCCTAAGTTATAACAATGGGTGACGTCATGGACTCGACCCACATGCATATTAATGATTTACTTCGACCTAAATCGACACTTACTCGACACCAAAGAGGAGTAAAATGCTGAAGCATGGCTACTGGGAAACGTCCCTTACCAGAATAAACGGGAGGGTTATTTATTATAACAGAGATGTAAAGTAATAATACCATAGTACAGAAGGGAAACGTAGGGCTCTTATAAAACTAGTTTTTTTGCAGACTTTTGGAATGTTATGGAGGACATTTGTCTTAACCAAAAACCGTTAAAAGACGTTACAAAACAAAAAACAAAAAAATGGATGAAATGAAAAAAGCTGATCTGTTGTGGAAATTCAACGCCTTGCATGGATGGCAAATTATTGTCCTTTTCATATAAATCTGACCTGACCGTTTTCCGCCGAGATAATTAGCGACGGAATCAAAGCTCAACCTTAAAAGCATTCCTCTACTAATATCCAGTCGAGCTACCTTAACTAACGGCGTTGTTACTTTAACACCCTGCTAAGTTTAACCTTATAACCTTAATTCTCTCATAGGGATAGCAAAAGGAGGAAGGTAATCTCATGTTTTGGTGGTAGCTTAATTAGTCCCTTGATTAATTCGACAAAAATAAGACATTTGACTAGTACTCTTCTTGGCATCGTTATCTTCGAGCAATGTTAACTCACTTGGTAATATTTTTCCCCAGAGACAAAACATTTTACATTTAACGTCAAATTACTTAATTCTTATATGTGGACGCAACGTGGCTGAGTGGTTAGAGCGTTGGACCGCCCTGACCGCTAGCTGGATTTGTTCTCGCTAGTCCCGAGTGCGGTTTGTCGGCGTCGCATGTGAAAAAGCCAACTGGTTTACCTTCTATAATTTGGAATTCTGAACATCGTTATGTTGTCTTTCAATTATTTGCTTAACGCTCATTATCCCTTAAAAGGAAAACTAGGGGACCAGATGTGTACACTTTTTTATTTCCATAAATGACGCAAATATAACTGTAATCACTCATTTAAAAAAAAAGAGAGCGAACGTCGAGCTTGCATATATGTATTCTAATTTACTGTTTTCTTGAACCCTTTTAGGCTGTATGCTACTACATGTGAAAAAACAGGAGAATTCCATGTATGTTTCATGTCAAATAGCTAAGAAAAATAACACATCATATACCCAGTGCAAAAATGGGTCATGTAGCAGCTGCTCGGAAGAGAAGTTACCAGTGGTGCGTTTTCCTGACCCAAAAAAAACACTAAAACAATTCGAAGAATGACACGTCATTGTTTCCTGCGACCAATTAGGAGAGACCTTACGAGTTACGAGCAGCTCCTACACTACTCCCATAAATGGCTGCTCGATTACATGTAATATTCGTTTAGTTAAATTCAAATTAGCCTGATTAACCTCCCCTGAGATAAAGTATTCTTTGGAGTTTTGCACTTAAAAACAAGGCTATACGGCTAATTTGAATTTGTAAAAAAAAAATATGTCAGTTAATTTTAAGATTGTTTCCCGTAATTCCAGTGCAGTAAATGCGCATTTTTGATAAAGCTGCCTAGATATCAGCCAAGTTTCCGTTTCTGCGGAAAGAGCAAGGCTTGTAATCCTAAAAGTAGTATAGTAAATTAATCTCATTAACGAATATTTTAACATCGATCATCTCATAGATTTTTGATTTTGTCTCTTGCATAAAAAGCGGTGGAATACCATATATCTTCTTTCTAGCCTTTCTAGTCTGCTGGTAGGAGATTGTTAAAGGTGGTTTCCAGTGTTTCATGTGTGACAATGCTCCTTAATCGTGACACCAAAGAAAGCCCTCTTTTATGTAATTTCTCTTTTCGAGGATCTGGTGTGTCTACGATCACATGTAGGGCAAATCTTGTAATCATTCGGATGCGTACAAGTTAGAATTCACATGGACTTTAAAGAAAGGGAAAGATGGTCGTCGTTTTAGAGCAACCACTCTCTTGGGGTTCCTTGGCTTCACTACCATTCGCAGAAACTATTCCAGAAACATGGCTGCAAAGAATATAGAAATGGGGTGGTGGTCGTGGTGCCTGAACGTATGTTAATGAAGATTTTCCCGCATTTTTTTTCCTGAGTGAAAGAAAAAAGTTACGATATCTTGTGTTGGCCTATCATTCCTCAATTTTTTGAGATTTCTCTCCGAAAACGCGGTAAAACATCGCTACTTCTGAGATGGCCTCAACTCGCCCGCTTTGGGTAAAACGTGTTTCATTTGTACAGATCTGAGTGCTAGGCATATAGTAAAGTATAATTAGGTTCTGTAGACTAAGTCAGGTTAATTGAAAGAGGCTGTCCTTTTTCTTTAAGTTACTTATTCACTTGAATGTCGTGTGGACAACAACCTACCTAGCCTGCGAAAACATCCGATTCTCATCGCTCTTCGCCGCTGGGGACGTTTCGCGAGAAGGAAGGTCTGCGACTCAGCGGTAGAAATTCCATACTGATGGCGCAAATCAATGTTTACATAATAAATCCGGTAGTCATGGGGTTCCAAATATAAATTTGTCCAATTTTACGTGTCTTCTGGTCTATTTTGGTAAACTGTTGTGTTCATCTGCCAACGAGCTCCAGCAGACCTCGAATGCTTCTTGTCGAAGAGAGTATATTCCACAAATATTGACTGTTTTGATATTGATTGTGCGGGTTTGCATTTGACCTTCGTGGCCTTTTATCTTTTGTCCGTCATTCGTAAACAATAGCTAAAACAATGAAACTACCCCGTCGACCAATCAGCTCTTCTGATCGGATTCCGGACAGATTTTACGTCATCACTATGGAATTTCTGTCGCTGAGTCGGAGATGTTCCTCCGCGCGAAACGTCCCCAGCGGCGAACAGCGAGGAGAAACGGATGTTTTCGCAGGCTAACAACAACCGTATGAAGATAAATCTGAAGTCAAGCGTCGTTTTGCAGCGTTTATTTTACATATATTGAACAGGGGCGACTTGAAAAAAGTGTTGTTGAATGGAGATACCTGATAAATACGTTAAAAACGTCGCAATAAATTAAAAAGGTGACCATATTCGTGAGGCAAATGATTAACGCGAGCGTAACAGTGCAATATCTCTGTACAAAAATTAGAGTTGAAAATATTACGAGGTTTTTCGGTTCTGTTCTGGTTATCGTTTTACAGTTGTTCCTTTGCTTGATATTTTGTTATTTTTTTGTTTTAGTCCTGTTTCATTTTTGCGTTAGTGAAATCAAAAGAATGGTACGATTCTCATAAAAGGTGGATATCGACAAAAAAGTAAACAGTCAAGTTTAGTGGTCTTTTCTCGTTTATCTAAGGCTGCAGTGCAAGTGGATAATCGTAAACCAGAACAAATTTCCATGAGACAAATGACTTCAGAGGTTTCGTCTGGACATTATATGCCACTGGTTAAGGAACGCCAATCATCTGGCTCACCGAAAGTCATTCCGTCAATTGACGCTTCATCATTAAGCCAGTATGAACCGTTAAACCCATCATCAATTTCTTACGAGATTCTTCGCCAGAACGTGATTATTGAGAAGATAATTGGCAAAGGTGCTTTTGGTAAGGTTGCCAGGGGAAAGATTAAAGGCCTACAGAAAAAAAGACAACATGTCACACAGGTGGCTGTCAAAATGTTAAAAGGTACAAGATAACTTGATTAATCACTGTGCATGTAACTGATAATGTGCGAATAGGCTAACGGGAAAATAAAGGAATGTAACACAAACGATTCACAATGAAAACTCTCTTTACCTCACCTTTCAGCTGACGCGCCGGACTCCGACAGGAAGGATTTGTTATCAGAGCTTGAAGTGATGAAGACGTTAAAGCCTCATCCGCACGTCATCAAACTGCTTGGATGCGTCACCGAATCTGGTAGGTTATTTTTTACGTAAGCTGTCTTTAGTCACCAATTACCATGCTGCAAGTAAAGGGTCATTCCTGTTATTTTAATTGTACTTTTTTCAGTCTGAGTCAAGTCTCTTTGTCCGTGAATGACTAAATGAATACATCGTTTTTTACTCAGAGCCCTTGTTCGTCTTGATCGAGTATGTTCCTTACGGGGATCTCCTGGGTTACCTGAGAAAGAGCCGTGGATTAAACGACACTTATTTCAAAGACCCAGATATCAAACCACAAACAAGTCTGACGTCACAACAGTTGATGAAGTTTTCTTGGCAAGTTGCTGATGGAATGAGTTACCTCTCATCGAGAGCGGTAAGCTAAAATATTTGATTATTATGTATTCAAAGTCTGGTTTAGACTGTCTCTATTTTACCCAGAAAAATTAGATACATACTAGCAGTGAAGAACACACTCAGGTCCCCTCACTTTCAGCTACGTTTGCTCTGGCGTTTTGATAAACCCCCTCGACAATGACGATTTCATAAAACTTATTTCCGGCTGGACTGATGTAGATGAAAAATGTAAAATGAAAAATGTGTGAAATGAAATCTCACATTGCAGATTATTCATCGAGACCTTGCCACTCGAAATGTTCTGGTTGGAGAAAATGAAACTTGTAAAGTGACAGACTTTGGAATGGCAAGAGATGTGCAAGAACAAAATATTTATGAAAGGAAGACAAAGGTTTGTATTATATTGGAAACAAACCTACAGTATAGGACTGGCACGCAATCCTTTTCACTCCACATTACCTGTGGAGGAAAATACGTAAGGTTTTGTTGATTATGTCCTTGCTTTCTAGGTTTCATGCTTTAAGAGTTGCTCCCAAAACTATTGGCCACGAAGTTAGGGCAGTGTGTGTAAAGCTGATAAAACATTTGACAATCCTAAAAAAAGCATAAGAGACTATTTTGCCGGCGGTCACGAAAACATGGGATTACATTGCATATTTTAGGTGTTTATGCTTGTCTGAGTGAGGTGATATAAAGACGTCCTTTGCCAAGCATAAATTTTTAATTCAGCTGCATATAAAAGAAGATTGCTAACTTTATACCTGATAAAAGTCTTAGAGAACGGCTAAGTTGTAGTGAAAACTTTTTTCGGTTTTGTTCTTCCACACTAAGACAGGAAGAAAGTGTAAAAAACAAAGTTGCGTGTAAACGAAGCCTGAGTTTTATTTTTGCAGCAACCGATTATTGTAAAAATTTAAGATGGCTTTCTGACCTTTTATTTCTGAGTGTATTTTTCTACCGAGTCGGACTTTCTTTTTTGCTAAGATACAGGGAAGCAAGGAAGTACATTACTTTCTCATCATCTTTCACTTCCGCCTACTTTTTGCCAACACGCTATTCCATGTTCGTCGTCCATTTGTCTTATGGTCATTTACTTTGTTGATTTGTAGGGTCGTTTACCAGTGAAGTGGACCGCATATGAAGCCCTGCTTTACGGACGATACACCACCAAGAGCGACGTGTAAGAAAACTTTCTATATATGCATGTAGCGACGAAATTCACTCTTGTTTACGGACCTTTATTTCCAATACTGCAAGGACGGCTACAATCATGAATCGTGACAATACACGAAGACAATGTTCCAAACAATACAGTCGTCAATGCGTCGAAACCGATCAATTTTGGTCGTTACTTCGAGTGAATGCCCAAGCTGCAAACACTCGCTGAAACGTATCAAAAGGCAACTAAAAACAAAGTCACATGACCTCTAAAGGCGGGAAAACAAAACGAAACAGGGAACCCAGCCGCTACAATGCATAAATAATAGGGTATTTGCAGAACAGAAGCTCGTCATCGCGCCACGTGAAAAGAAGGAAGCATGCAACACGGTTAATGTCACTGGGTTAACCAGCGTCAATGACGCAAAACTATCCCTCTCCCATCTCTAAACTAGAAGTGAAAAAAATGTGTATTACGTGTAAAGAACCGAAGAACTTTTTTATTTTTATTTATTTAAATTGTAGCCGCAGATATGTGTCTTTTTGTTTTCATAGGTGGAGCTATGGAGTCTTGCTTTACTAGATATTTACAATTGGTAAGGTCCTATAGCTATTAACTTACTGTGGTTTTCGAAGTTTTTGCTAAAACATAGAGAATGTTCCGAAAGAAGAGAGGTATTACGTTTTAACATAGTTTAGAGCTCAAGAATGCATATATTATTTGTATATATTTGTGTTTTCCGCGCAAATCGCCATCGATAACTTGCTGCGGACGTTAGAACCCCGAGCAGTGCCAAATGTGATAATGGCGAGCAACAAGAGCGCTGACCTCATAAATGTCGTGAACAAAAATCGGAAGTTGGCTGCTTTGCTTGACAGGACGCTGCTTTTTAACCCAAGGATTTTGAAAGCCTTTCTTTTAACACATATTCGTGACGTTGAGTCAGATCACCGCTCAAGTAGTTAAGTGGTTTATCTCGGGAAAATGGTTTATTCGCTATAACTTCGGTAAAGATGATGGCGCTGTATCAAATTTTGGCACACATATAGAACTCATCGCCTTCAACATTTTATAGCAAATAGTGTGTTAATCAGTCACGTGATATTTCACGTCATCATGCATTTTACGAAAAATCGTAAATTATTGACCAGTTGGTGGCCGGTTTCAGAAAAGAAATCGAGCAATACCATCTTTCTTATTCAAATTAAGTACTTCTGATACTTCACGTTTGGAATTATAGTGCATGACACTTCGAGAAATTATGAGAAAACATCATTTTAAATGTCCAAATTTAATCTTCAATTATTAAAAACTTGAATTTTGAACTTTGCACACATTCATTCCAAAGGTAGCAAGTTAGGCATGTTTATCCTCTTTCAAAGTAAATTCCCTACCAATTCGCCAATTTCCCACCGATTCCCCACCAACAGGCCAATTTCCATATTTAGACGTTGAGACACAACAACACCTCAAGATTTACTTTTGGGGAAAACTTATTTTGTTCTAGGTCTCCTAGCGAGAGATATTGCCAATCATTCATTCAAACACGCCTTTGACCCATGCCTTAAACCCCTTGAGTGAAAGATTGACTCGTTGAGAAGCCTTTTCAGATTAACCTCTGGTTGAACTGTTTGACATCCAAGGAGACAATTAACTGTCTCTCGCTACAGTGCGAAAGTTCGCTGACAATTGAATACTGTCACCTTATTGCAGCAAGAACTTACACCATGACTTAAATTGACGGCTTTTTGTAGTTTCTCTGGTGCCAAAATGAGACAGATAAAGAGGCGAGTGTGTAAATAAATTGTCCTTACAGCCACAGTTAGCTCCTTCCATTTTGAGTAAAAACAGCAACAAAGACAACAACAAATTTTGGGAGAACTCATGCCTTGTAATAAAGTATTGTAACAGCTGGTCACTTTCTCCTTTTTAGGGGGTTCTCCATTTCCACGAATGGATGGCAGGAAGATTGTAAGCTTACTTCAGCACGGATACAGGATGCCTAAATCACAACATGTTGATGATGAACTGTAATTAATTCTGTGTCCGCTTCATGGCATTCGGAACGTTTTATTACTGTACTGAGAACCTCTCTGACTCTCCATACCATAAATATCTAATAGGATCCTTAAGGATCGTGCGAGGTTTTCACCAGAGATGATTTTGGAAGTCGAAACGCCAGAATGCACAGGTCACAATTTCCATGTCACAGTTGTGGGTACTGGTCGCGTTCCGCAGATAAAGAACAGTCCAAGAGTATTGTCCATCTTCGAGAGAAAATGTAATGATGAACATCAAATCAAACTCCCGAAAATGTTGGACTTAAAGTTAACTGCATACTTATATTGGAAATTTCAACCGAAGATGACGAATATACTTTTCTGGAAATCGTTTTATTCTAATAGGCCACGTCCGAGTTAAAAAAAAAATCTCGCTTTCAAAACGAGACTAAGTGCAAAACCTTTGTAAAAATGTTGTGAAAATGAGTTTTACTTACATGAGAAAAGGAAAAAAAATCATATCAATAGTAAAAATAATAATAAAAATAATAATAATAATTATTATTATTATTGTGAAATAATAATGATTAAAATTTGTATAGCGCCTATTCAGCTCTACCCTAGGCGCTTTACACCACATTCTAAACAATAAGTAAATATTTCACTTTTCAAACAAATAAATAAAGAATTAAATAGTAAATATATGAAAGTTGACATAAAAGTGGCCTTATTAACCATGATACGCTTTTCTAAAAAAAAGATGGCTTAAGGTCAGATTTGAAAGTACTTATTATAAATAGTCACATGAACGGATGTTGTGTGCTAGACTGTTCCACAGGTCAATAGCAGCAACAACGAATGGCTTCACACCTAGTCTCGCTTTGCATCAGACCATTAAGATAACTCGCAAATGAACTATATATAGGGATGGACCGAGAGAATTGTTGCTCAACATACCATGCAAAATTTTTGTGTTGTGACGGGTACAAAATAATGCAACTGTGCTGGCTGGAAGACCCTAATGCAAGACCTTCTTTTTCTGAACTGACAATAAAGCTGAAAAAGATGGAAAACCAACATAAGGTACGATTTAAACAAGAAAGGCCCTGGACAATTTTGAGTCTCCCTTAGTTGTCCTCCTTCACATTTGTTTACCTTCATTAGAAAGCCGGGAGCTGCAAACCTTGGGTAGCCTTATAGATTCTGCCTTCAAAACGTTCTCGTTATGCTTCGTTGGCAGTCAACTACGACCTCTCGCCATGCATGTTTCTTATAACTAATAAAAGTGAAGAAATAGAATTGTTAACTGGATTGTTTTGTTGTCAGTTACGCGAACAAGCTGATTGTCAGAAATCAATGATTCGCCTGCGTACTTGTGAAAAGTTTTGTCTTAAAGCTAAGGGAAATAGTCCAACCAATCTACAGCATTCGCTTCTAATAAGATTACTTAGGTTTGAAATAACCTTCAACGCAGACGTTTTCTTTGTTTTTCTTTTGGCGGTTCACACAAACAATTCCTTCTCACTGGGCCAAAGAGACGTCTGCGCAGCAGGCTCTTGATATGGCTTGTTGAATTATAATATATGTTTTTTCTTTTTTATTTACAGGGGCTAATAAACATGAAACTGTATGATATCAGCTATATGTAAACCTTGAAGACTTGACCGTATAAAACAAAACTATCCACTCACGTGGGTGCCGCGGTCAACAGTTTCAGCTGACAGTTTCTTATGATTCTTTACTTTTTTCAGTAGACCAATTACTTAAACGGTATCCTCATTGCATAAAGTGAAATAAAGCTATAACAATTAAAAAACATATTTTTAGGTTCAGAAAATTAGACTGGGAATTAATTTTTAAGCGAAAAAAATTACTCAAAAGATTCATGACACTACCGTTTACCCTGAATCGCTCGATAAAGATCTGAAGTGCAGAAGATATAGTTTGTGGAGGTAGTTTACTTGACCCACTATATTATAGGCTCGCAGACGAGTTTACCACTATTCAGTGCTATCTAAAAAGATGCCATAACCCCAGATAGAAATGTATATATATACAGAATCTAGCTAGAGCCTATAGAGAAAACTCAGGGGAAAATACTTGGAGAGAAATGTTTCTATGAAGGTACCACTGTTGGTATGAAGTTAATTCCAAGGAGAAAAAAAAATTTAAAAATACAATTTTAGCAGAAAATGTAGCAATATCAGCAAACAGTTACAGACCGCTTAAAGATTTTAAAATATATATCGAATAATTTTTAAATGCCATTTAGCGCTGTAACCTATTACTATTTTTATTTTTTATTTTTTACTATTATTTTCTATAAATACTATCAAGTGAACGTGATTCTTACAATTAGCTACTATTAGGTATAAGTTGTACAGGCTGTTAAGGTTAAGTTTAGCGCGTGTATAGGAGCCATGCGGCGCATCAAAACGTTTGTTCTCGTAGCTACTCTGGAAACAATTTCTAAGGGCTTAGTTCAGCCATATTTTGAGTATTGTTCTCCTTTGTGGGAAACTTGCCACAAATTATTGAAAGATAAGCTGTATCGATTTCAGTCACGTGCTGCTAGAGTTCTCACAGGTTCCAGTTATGAAATTCGCTCCGCTCTCTTTTTTGGCAAACACTTGATGATCGACGGCGCTGTGCAAAGTCATTTTAATGTATAAAATATTTTAAATGGACACACCGCCCGCGGCCTAAGGAACTCTTTTGTGAGAAGGAATGTCGATCAGTCTAATTACCATCTACGTAACACAACTACTGATCTAACACTTCCTAAACAGAAAAGAGATTTTCTAAAAAGAGGTTATAAATTCAGCGGTGCTATGCTTTGGAACCAGCTCCCCGTATGAGGCAAGGCTCGCTGAGTCAATCTCTTCATTTAAAAGTCTTCTTAGATTTTAGTTGGGTATTGACGAGCTGTGTATCTTATTAGTAGTTAACTTTTTATATACGTACATGAAATAGAAATAGTATTAGTAGCAGCATAAGAAATTATAGAATTAGTTTAGTAATTTATAAATCCGCCAAAAGATAATATGTTACTTTTTTAACATTTACTGAAAGACTTGTAGCACTAGTAAGTGCTTTAAGAAAACGTCTCACTAATTCTGACGGATACAAATATCGCTTGAGGGCGTTTATCTTGAGGGTCCTCGAGCCTTGGGATGATCCGGATCAGGCCGTTTATGATCAAGTTTACTTGGATCGTGGTGCATAAAAGGTACTGATGAGTCCTTTTTTAAATAGGATCAACAGTCCCGTTTCGAATTGGTAAAAATTACCGCTGAATACAAACATTAACGACACATTTATACAGGGCTAGCCTCGACGCAATCAGAAATTATAGCAAGTACGTGTTTGAAATTTTAATATATGCAATAGCCAGAGTAACAAACAGGTCAATTGTTTTGTCTGCATGGGGCTGGGGGGAGTAGAAGGCCTAAATGTAATAAACGACCCTAGGTGTAATAAAGTCCTAAATGTAATGACATTTTGTCCTAAATGTAATAACAATTTGCCCTAAATGTAATAAACTCTTAAGTTGCCAATTACAGTAATCAAACTCGAGTAAGTGTCACCCTCAAATAAGCGCCGCATTTAACGGGGGAGTTAATTGGGAAATTAAACGAGACTTACCCGTAAGTTGAAGTTTGGTTGAGATTCTATCACATGACAACGGAAGGCGAGAGATCACATGAGATAGCACAGCGCTTGCGCAAGTCATTCTTAACAGACACGAAATGGGCGCGTCAACATAGTATCAAATGGCATACCTAAAAATACAAACAAACAGGGTGGGTATGATAGCGGAGGGCATTTGATCTCTCGCCTTCTGTTGTCATGTGATAGAATCGCAATCAAACTTCAACTTACAGGTAAGTCTCGTTTAATTTCCCAATTCCATCACATGACCAGAAGGCGGAGATCCCATGAGACTTCAAAGGGTTGATGCGGCCATGCGATAGGCCCAACGAGAGGTACAGATAACCCAAGGCCATATGCAGAGTACCCTCTGGCAAAAGCAACCCCAATAATAAACACAATATAATACAACAGTGTTTTTTCTGTTTTTTTTTTTTCCATATATAAACTTGCTAATTTGCTAATCCCGACCAGATCCAAAGTAGACATGACGAAAGGCCTAGTGTGGGCTAGCGCCCAGAACAGCAGAGGCCACACCGTTTTCTTGAACAACAGGCTTATTGTAATATTTATGAAAAGTCTCTGCGGATTTCCAGCCAGCCCTGGCCATGATCTCGTGAACAGGGACATCTTTGGCACTAGCTTTTGAAACAGCCGCCGACCTAGTGCTATGGGCGGAGAACACTTTGGTATCCACCCCACAAAGGTGAAGGGTTTCCTTAGTCCACCTGGAAATTGTGTCCCTGGAGACAGGTTTATGCGGCCTAACATAACTAACAAATAATTTCGTTTCATCTTCACGCAAAACTTTTGTGCTGTTAATATACGCCTTAAGGCAAGTGAAACGACAAATGGAAACATCCGGCTTATATCTAGCTATTTCGATTCTTGTATCAGGGTTCCTTGGACTACTGGTCTTCATGTGTTCGTCAATGTCAAATATGTATTTGTCCTCTTCCACACAAAGGTGCTTAAGATCTAAGGAGTGTACAGTTTGTCCTCGTTGACTAGAGACTAGTAAGATTAACATGAGAACTTTATACGTCAAATCTTTCAATGCCAATTTGTCATACGGGTATAACGTAGACAAATGTTTCAAAACTACTCCGATATCCCAAATTTTCGTGTACTTAGGTTTTGGTCGCCGTGATTCAAAGACCTCTTTTCATAAATCGAGTTACAACACAATTAGTACCGAAAGACTCCCCACCTTCCGGTATAATAATTGCAGAAAGAGTAGAGCGGGCAGTGTTTAGCGCGAAATAACTCAGTCCTTGATTAAATAGTCGTACAAGAAATTGGAGGGCTTCATTTAGCGGTGGTGAATAGTAAGCAATCTTCCTCTCACCGCAAAACGCTATCCATTCGTTAAGATAGGTTTGG